GTTCTAGACATTTTTATCTCTCGATTGTTATTGTTCATTATTTTGGTGAAGGAGAGTGTTAATGCATGAAGGGTGATGCTGTGACATGTTTTATGAGTATTAATGCACGAAGGGTGATGTCGTGCCATATATTGTGAGTGCTAATGCACGAATGGTGATGCCATGCCATCTTATGAGAGAGTTAATGCACGAAGGGTGATGCCGTGTTGTTCCTATTTGATTCATATGGTGAGGATGAGAGTAAAAGCACGAAGGGTGATGTTGTGTACTTTCTGTTGCTATGATTACTTATCCTTATCCGTTCTGATTATATCGGTTGATCAAAGTTCTAGATTCTGCCGTGATCCTTTATCTTGTAATCCCATCATCATGTCCCCCTCCTAATATTACCTATCTTGTTTTTGTTATTGCTTTTATTGGCATATATATTGTTATAATTTACATGTTGGTTTTATGGTGTCTTGTCCTAGCCTCATGACTACATCGTCGAGGTTAGGTTCGGGACTTACAAGTACATGAGGTCAATTATATTGATACTGCACTCTGCACTTCCTGTGTAGATTTTTGTGTCGGTTTGAACTGATCTTCAGACTAACTGCTGACTTCATTCTACAGGATACCCAAGGTAGATCTGCCGGCATCTGCAGACTTTGGAGTCCCTTTTTAGTTGTTTTAGTTTACTGTTTCTTTTAATTCGAAAATAGTTGTACTTTTTTCAGCTAGTTACTTGTAGTTAAATCTTAGAAGTTCATGGATTGTGACTCCAGATTCTGGGTAGCTTTATATATTAATATTGTTATGGATTTTCACATGTTTTTCAACTTATTATGTTTTAATTATTGTTAATTGCTGAAAGGTTTAAGAATTGGTTTAATGATCTCTAAAGTTGGCTTGCCTATCAAGTGAAATGTTAGGCGTTATCATGGTTTCGAATGTAGGGATTCAGAGTCGTGACAAGTTGGTATCCGAGCACTAGGTTGCCTACGTCTCACAATTCACGAACATGCTTGGTAGAGTCTGGGGGATCGGTGCGGAGATGTATGTACTTATCTCTCAAAGATTACAGAGTTTAGGAACAATGTCACTTCTATTCTTCTCTATCGTCCGATTTTATTATTTAAATTCTAATCGAACTCTTCTACTCTTGTTCCTTCATAGATGGCGAGAACACGTACCGCATCTTCAGTTGAGAAGTAGCTAGAGCCCCTAGTAGAAGCTCCTATGAGGGGCAGAGAACTAGGATGAGGCGGAGGCTGTGCCAGAGGCCGAGGCAAGGGCAGGACTCATCCTAGAGCTTGAGTAGGAGAACCAGCGGCAGAGCCTCAGGTGGAGTTTGATTAGGAGGCTCCAGCCTAGACTGTTCTAGTAGGACCAACTCAGGTCCTAGAAGGGTTCATCGCCACCTCGGTACTTCAGGATGCTTTGGTCTGTCTAGTGGGCCTCAAGGAGAGTGTGGCACATGCCGAAACATTTCCTGTAGCACCAGCCGTCTCTCAGGCTGGGAGAGGAGCACATACTCTCGCTACCCACACTCTCGAGCAGATGACTCCTCAGTTTTAGACTCCAGCAGCTCATCTCATTGGGGTAGTTCAGTCGGGTGTTGCGGTACAGACCGGTGATGGATCAGCTATGTCTTCTAAGGCTTTATAGAGACTGGATAGGTTTACCAAGCTTTTCTCGGTTCACTTCAGCGGTGCATCTTCAAAGGATCCCTAGGACTATTTGGACAGTTGTCATGAGGTGCTACAAAACATGGGGATAGTGGAGACCAATGGGGTCGACTTTGATGCATTTCAATTGTCGGGTTCTGCCAAGAAATGGTGTAGGGATTATATGTTGACCAGACCAGCTGGGTTGCCTGTTCTCACTTAGGACTAGTTCTCTCAGCTATTTCTTGAGAAGTTCTTTCTTATCACTCAGAGAGAGGACTATCGGGGGCAGTTCGAGCATCTGCAGCAGGGCTTTGTGACTGTCACTTAGTACGAGACTCGATTTGTGGATCTGGCCCGCCATGCTATTCTTCTACTTCCTACCGAGAGAGAGAGATAGAGAGAGAGGGTGAAGAGGTTTATTGAAGAACTTGCTCAGCCTATCAGATTGCAGATGACTAAGGAGATTGGGAGTGAGATTTCTTTTTAGGCGGTAGATAATGTTATTAAGCGAGTCGAGATGGTACTAGCTTAGAGGAGTGGTCAGGGATCTGATAAGAGACCTCGTCATTCTGGTGGATTCATGGTGCCTCATCTAGAGTCAGGGGTACTTTTGGTAGAGGCCATCCTTATAGGCCGTTTCATTCATCACTCCAAACTTCTCATGGTGCTTCAGGTGGTCGTGGCCCTCATATGCATTATTCCGATTAGCTAGCCTATAGTGCACCACCAGCTCTTATTAGTGCAACTCTACTACAGAGTTTTCAGGGTGGTTACTCAGGCCGACAGGGTTAGTTTCAGGATCAACAGTCATAGTAGCCGAGGTCTTGTTATACTTGTGGTGATCCGAGGCATATTGCTAGCTTTTTCCCTCGAGCATCGAGTAGTTCTCAACATCAAGTTTCTCATGCCATGGTCCCGATAATGAGTGTTTCACCGCCCTCTCAGCCAGCTAGAGGTAGGGGTCATACAACTAGAGGTGGAGGTCGAGGCATTAGAGGTAGAGGTTAGGCCGCTAGAGGTGCAAGCCAGCTAGACAAGGCCCGTCCTCGAGATGTAGTTCAGAGTATTAGGGCCCAACCTCGATGCTATGCTTTTCCAGCCAGGCTTGCGGCTGAGTCATTTGACACGGTTATCACACATACAGTTTCAGTTTGCAGTAGGGATGCCTTAGTGCTATTTGATCTGGGTTCTATTTATTTGTATGTGTCATCTTATTTTGCTTCATATTCGGTTGTGCCTTATGATTCTTTGAGTGCCCCTATGTATGGGTCCACCCCTGTGGGAGATGCTATCATTGTAGATCGTGTTTATCTTTGTGTGTGGTTACCATTGGGAGTCTTGAGACTCGTGTAGATCTCTTACTTCTCGATATGGTCAATTTTGATGTCATTATGGGGATGGATTAGTTGTCACCTTATCATGCTATATTGGATTGTCAAGCCAAGAAAGTGACCTTAGCCTTGCCGGAGTTGTCTTGATTAGAGTGGAGAAGGACTCCAGGCCATTCTACCAGCGGGGTTATCTTTTATATGAAGTCTCGACATATGGTCGAGAAGGGGTGTCTAGCTTATTTGGCTTATGTCCGTGATTCTAGTTCGTAGGTTTTTTCCATGGATTCAGTACTGGTCGTTCGTGAGTTTCTAGAGGTGTTTCTTGTAGACTTGCCGGGGATGCCACCCGACAGGGATATTGACTTCTATATTGATTTGGCTCCAAGCACTCAGCCTAATTCTATTCTGCCGTACCATATGGCCCGTAGAGTTGAAAGAATTGAAGGAGCAATTGCAATATTTGCTTGATAAAGGCTTTATTAGACCTGGTGTCTCGTTCTGGGGTGAGCCCGTATTGTTTGTAAAAAATAAGGATGGATCGATGAGGATGTGCATAGATTATCGGTAGTTGAACAAAGTCACCATCAAGAACAGGTATCCATTGTCAAGGATTGACGAGTCATTTGATCAGCTTCAGGGTGCCAAAGTATTTTCAAAGATCGATTTGAGGTCTGACTACCATCAGTTAAGGATTAGGGAATCCGATGTCCCTAAGACAACTTTTCGGACTTGGTATGGGCATTATGAGTTTCTAGTGATGTCATTTAGGCTGACAAATGCCCCAGCAATATTTATGGATTTGATGAACCGGGTGTTCAAGATCTATTTGGATTCCTTTGTAATTGTGTCTATAGATGATATTTTGATCTACTCCCGCAGTCGAGAGGAGCATGAGCAGCACCTTCGGATCGTTATTCAGACTCTGAGAGATAGCTAGTTATATGCTAAGTTTTCAAAATGCGAGTTTGGTTTGAGCTCAGTCACCTTATTGGGGCACGTTGTGTCGGCAGAGGGTGTTCAGGTGGATCCTAAGAAGATTGAGGTAGTCAAGAACTAGCCTAGACCCACTTCGGCTATAGAGATCCGGAGTTTCTTGGGATTGGCGGGTTATTACCATCGGTTTGTGGAGGGATTTTCATCTATAGCAGCCCTGTTGACCTGTTGACCCAGAAGGGTTCCCCGTTCTGATGGTCAGACCAGTGCGAGGCGAGCTTTCAGAAGCTCAAGACTGCTTTGACTACAGCGCTAGTGTTAGTGTTGCCTACAGGTTCAGGGCCTTATATAGTATATTGTGTTGCATCTCGTATTGGACTTAGTATGGTATTGATGCAAGGTGGCAAGGTAATTGCATATGCTTCAAAGCAGCTGAAGATGCACGAGAAGTATTATTTGTTCATGACTTAGAGCTGGCAGTCATTGTTCACGCGCTAAAGATTTGGAGGCACTATCTTTAGGGCGTGTCATGTGAGGTATTCATGGATCATCAGAGTTTGCAGTATTTGTAGACATATAATTTTTGACCCTTCCCAATATTTTAGTATCGCTATTATAAATAGTTTTGACTCTTTACTTTATTTTATCACAAAAATAAAAATTACAAAAATATTTTCTTTTATTTAGCTAATTAATATTTTATCTAATTAGTTTTAATTTATCTACCTTACATAAAATCCGAAAATACAAAAAATAGTTCCACTTTATTTTCAGGATCATTATTTTAATTTTACAATGATTTTTCTATTTTTAGTATGATATTTGAAAAATACAAAAAATAGGTTTATTTTAACTGTTAGTTTTATTTTAATAGTTATTATACTTAAGTAGGATTAATTAGTAAATGATGTAATATTTTTAATCTTGTTTTAGAAGAAAGAGTATGAAATTTGAGGTTAATTTAGTTTGGTCTTAATTGAAGAGGTCCAAAGAGATGACCCAATTTTAAAGCCCAAACCCTAAGACCCACTTTCCCTTCTTCTTATACACACTAACACACATTTTCAAGACCTAGACACTAAAAAAAAACCATAATCCTATCTTCTTCTCTAAGCTTCAGTCGTTCTTCTTCAATATTTTCACAACCTAGAACACACCTTCACTAACCTAGAGACAAAGGAACACCAGTGACCGATAACAAGCAGCCACTGCTGCTTCTTCACCTCTCACTCACGACCACCACAACAACTAGAACACCTCATCTCCACCTCCATTCTGCCACCCAAAAACCAACAAAAATAGCCAACCATCTCCAGCTGTCAATGGACTAACAAATCCGTCTAGACCAACTGTCCACCACCCAAACGAAGCTCCTTTGTTAAGCAATTTCTGACCGTTAATGTTGAGACGGAAGGTGACAGATCTGGCAAGAAATCCAGCGAAACACCAAAGAGTAGCCAAAGATTGAAATCCATCATAAAACAGCCATTGTGACGCCCAAAACCGTCATCCAAGCTCAGTCGAGTTGAATCCAGTGAGATACGTTCGAAGCTACTGATTTGAGGTTTGTTTGAGATTGCCGTTTGAGGTCTCCAGTCGCTGGTTCCGCTCGTTGTCGCCGACAAAATCTCCGGTCCAGAATTGTTCAGTTGCTAAGTTTATATTTACGACTCAATTCATTTAATACAATGTTCAAACTCGGCTTTGAAGGTTAGATTCAACTCCTGTTTTTTTTACAATTTCAGTTCATTAATTTAGTGAAATAAAGTTATCGGTTTAAGATTATCAATGTATTCATTTGATTGTCACTTATATTGTCTTCATATGCTTTTTATTTAACAGTAAAGGTTATTGTTGGATCACTAGTATATAATTCATTTAACTTGATTAAGAGGAAGAAAAAAGGGCATTCACTGATAGGTCAAATTCTTTTAGATTCTAACTAAGTAATAAATATTTTGTTCCATGTATAGTTTGATCCATAAATGTTCTCATGCTTCTATTACTATTCATTAAGTTATTTTAGTATTTAGAGTTATTTCGAATATATATTTTTATGAATCTGCTAGAAAGATAATTGTGGATAAAAAAGGTCACCTTGATCCGTGCTTTAAATATTGTACTGTATTTATTTAAATACTTAGGTTTGTTTGATGGAATAACAGGTTATATAGATGAATAGTATAAGTGGACTGTTGAATTCTAATGACTTGGAAATCTTGGGCCAATTAATTTTAGTCTACCAAGCCCATCAACATCGTAAGCTAGCTATCTTTCCTAAATTAATTTACTTCATGCTCTTCTTCAATAATTCTATAGATCATGGCCTTGAAATAATCTCAAAGTAGTTTAGAAAATAATTTATAAACATCGTACTTTGCTTTAGGCGCGAATAATAAATAAATCATGACTATGGGTACGGTTCCCATGGTATAGTCATGATACATAATCCCCATTCGGGTGTACATTTCATGTGACCCGACCTTAACTTCTAATAATAAGAAATAAATATATTGTAGATCATGGGTACGGTTCCCGTGACATGATTCGTCATGGGTACAAAAATACAAGTGTACGACAACCGAAACTTGTTCCAGAAATAATTCCATAAATAATTAAAAACGCTTTTTAAAAGGTTTAAAAATTCATGCTAGGTTCTAGATATGTAATAAATTAGATAATTAGGCCAATATTAATAGTTATGTGACCTTGCTAAAACCACGAAAGCCGGGAATGTCTAACACCTTCTCCTGGGTAAACAGAATTCCTTACCGGGATTTCTGTGTTCACAGACCATATATAAGAGTCAACTTCCTCGATTCAAGATTTTAAACCGATGACTTGGGACACCATATATTATCCCAAGTGAAGACTCTGAATTTGAATAAATAACCCAATTTCGATTATTGTCACTTTAATTGAAAAACTCCCTTATATCCCCTTTCGGGTAGAAAAAGGAGGTGTGACAGCTCTGGCGGCTCTGCTGGGGATCAAAGACAGAATCTCTGGTTCAGGGTTCAAAAATTTGAGCTTAGAATAATTGTTATATTTGGCTTTTATTTATTATCTGAGTTTTACTACATGCTTGGGCCTAATATGCTAAATGTCGCTTTTTACCGCTTTGATATTATTTGATTGTATATAAACTGCTGTGAAACCCTTCTCTTCTAAATCTTCTAGGAAGCGCATGTTGGTGTGACTTCTTTTCTGTTAGTTTCATATCCTTAATTTATAAGTTGCAAAGTCGGATGATATTTTGGTTACTGGTACGCTGCCCCTCCCCCCTCCGGCTTGAGTTGTCCGCTTGGGTAAGCCAGGTCTAGAACAATACACCCGGGTTTTAAACCAAGAATAACATAGCCTCATGCCGGAACCCTAGTTGGAACGTTTGTTTGCATCACGTGCATTTGACTTGAGGGACTCAACACAGGGGTTGGATCCGTCTAGGACAGGTGTACCCAAAAAATAAAAGACCATTCTCATGCTTCCTATGTACTACATGTTGCAATCCTCAAAGGTAAAAGGGGTTATTTGGCGGACCAATGAGGGTTGAGGGTAAATAAGAAAGAAAAAAGGTTGAAGTATAAAATAAAGCAAGTAGGGCCTAGTTATAATTTTCTTTCACACTTTTTCAAGAAAAGATCAAAAAAAAATCAAAAACGATTTTGCACTTTCCCCATCATTTTTTCAAAAATAAAAAAAAAGAGAAAAAGTAAATCCAAAAAGATTTTACATGTTTCATCATTTTTTAAGAAAAAGAGAAAAATATATTTACTTCAAATTAGTGTTTTTTTTAAATTCTCTCCCTATCCGATTTTCCCGAACTATGCATACCTATTTTTCGTCTTTCGAGGAGCGATACGTAGGCAAACTACATAGGGTTCGATTGAATTATTTTTTAAAAAAAATTAAAAGGAAAAAGGAAAAAAAAGAAGAAAAAAAAGGAAAAAAAGGGGAAACTATGGGATGTGAGAAATGAGAGGAAAGAAATGAGTGACAATTAGAAAAAAAGAGGAAGGAAAATGAGAAAGCCAAGAAGTGCTAGAAAATAAAAGAAAAGAGAAGATTGAAATGTACAAATTGGGATGATGCCAAGTGACCTTGTGACCCTCGAAATCATTGTTGAACCGTTAATTGTTGTTGGATGCATTGCACGCAATGTGATATTTTTAGTTGTTAAATGCCCTAACGCTAACATGATGACTTCATTTTGTTCCTCTTCACTATCTTCATTATAGCAGAAGGGTGGTTGTTTTATGGTTCTTAAACTGGTAACTCTTCCATACAACAAAAGGTCAAAGAGCAAGGTAGCCATGGTTAACAAAGACTTGGACACAAGTGTTGTTGGTTCGTCCAAGGGAATTATTGAATCAGAATCTAAGTTGAAAGAAGAGGCCTTAAGGTTGAAAGGACAGATGACTTAAATATACCAAGCCTGGATTAGTGGGCATCCTCCACCATTAGTTCCCACTAACTACACTGAAAGCCTCGTCACCATTCCACCACCATCACAAATCCGGCTTCATACTGCTGCTGATATTTTTCCACAACCTTTTCACACTCCACCTGCCAAAACCACCTCATATCCTGCTCCTTTGACAACTCCTGTTTTTGTAGCTCCTCCACCAGCTACTTTTCCTCAATCCTCTAGCGACACCGTGTTCAAAGTCCCTGATGCCCAATACTATGCTCCAGAACCAACTTTCAAAGTCTCGGATCCATAGTCCCACGTTCCTCATTTTGAGCCTCCGTTGAAAATGAAAAACCTGCTAAGACAGTAGAGCACGATGAGATATCTAGGAAGGTAAAAATCTTAGAGCGGTCTTAAGAAACATGCAAGGGATAGGGAGCCATATGAGCATGTCTTACAAAGACTTGTGCTTGTTTCCTGACATCCAACTACCTACTGGGTTTAAGATTCCAAAGTTTGACTTGTATGACGGACATGGAGATCGTGTGGCCCATTTGAGAGGTACCGATAGGAAGGACAAATTATTGATGGCGTATTTTAGTCAAAGTCTGAGTGGGGAAGCTCTATAGTGGTACACCCGTCAAGACGCTAGCAGGTAGTACACATGGGACGATATGGCTCAGGCCTTTGCCCGGCACTTTCAGTACAATATAAAATCATCCCAGATCGCATGTACCTCACCAAGATGGAAAAGAAGCCTAGTGAAATTTCTAGGGAATACATGCTCAGATGGAGAGAGCAAGCTGCCCGAGTCAATCCCCTGATGGAAGAAGACGAGATGGTTGAGTACTTTCTTCAAGCTCAAGAGCCAACTTACTTTGGGAATTTGATCTCGGTTGTGGGTAAGCCTTTTAATAATGTGGTAAAAATGGGAGAAATGGTAGAAGAGGGGCTGATGTCGAGCAAGATCATGAGCTATTCTGCTTTAAAAGCCATAACACAAGCAATTCAGAACAACACGGGAAGCTTGTTGGGTCAAAAGGAACATGATGATGTTGCCATGGTTGTCTCAGGATCACGACATGGTCCAACGGGTCCGCCTCACCAATATACTCAGCCTCAATCCCAACCCCAAACCTATCCTCGAGCTCCACATAATCCACCCCAGTATTATCCTCTAAACAACATCCGGTCATCTGTCCAACCATTGGGTCACTCCTTATGGAGATCGCCAGCAATCATAATGCACTTTTGCCTTCGTAACCTAACAACCCTATAAAACTGGGGCATGAAGGGGAACAAAGACAAAGAAATAGATTCACACCAATCGGAGAATCCTACACAAGCCTGTTTGAAAAGGTAAAATATTCTAGCCTGATTGATCCGCTCCTCGGCTATACTCCGGACCCATATGCAAAAAGTTTTGATCCTACTGTACGGTACATGTATCACTCTAATGTCCAAGGGCATAGCATTTAAGATTGTCTTGCTTTGAAAAGGGAAATAGAAAGAATGATTCAAGAAGGGATAATTGTGATCGAGGACAGTTACACCCAGAATATCGTGCAAAATCCTTTACCTGCACATGATGACGCACACTTTGTAGGGATGATACATGGTGATAGGGAGTATAAGAATCCTCTTGGGAACTTGCTGAATAAATTTGGTGATATTGAAATTGGTAATGGTCTTGGTAATATTTATGTGGAACTCAGTGGCTAAGATGCCGAGCTTGGTAATTGGAAAGACGCTTCTTTCTTAGCTAGCCGGGGAGGAGTCTTGGTGGTTTATTTCGTTGTCATTTCTATTGTCCGGGTTATATCAGGGTTGTAATCTGGATATTGTCTTGTGATTCAAACCTTTCTAACCTTTTATTTTGCTTAGTTCATTTAATCGTAGTACCCTTTAGTGCTATTTAGGTTTTTCCAGGGTTGTAACCCTAGTGTATTTTGCTTGTTTAGTTGTTCAAACCCTTTTACCGTCTGTCTAATGCAATTTCCTATTTTCTGTTATTTTGAGTCAGTTTTTGTTTAGTTCTTTTTTCCTTTTATAGTCTTTTCATGCTGATTCTAGTGACATGACATGTACGCGTAATTCTCAGCCTAGTTTTAAAAGTTAGTTTAGTTATGAAGTAATGAAACAATTTTGAAAATGATCGGGACATTTGAGGGAAGTAGGCAAAAATTTGGACATCTTGAGATCATTTAAAGCCCGAATTGTGTGAAATTGAGGCAGATAATCTGGGAAGTTAATAGTATGACAGGAATTTGTTGCAAGAGAGTGCATCTCAGACATATTGAAGCGAGCAACTTTGAGTTCAAGTGTATCTCATGTTACGAGATAAAGCCAAGGGAGTTTTCTCCAAACAAATGGAGGATATCCGTCGTGAAGAAGAATCACCCAATAGGAGTTTTGTACTTGATAAGGCACAGAAAAAAAGTGGAAAGCATATCAGTGATATCAATGCCGAAGCTGTAAAAGAAATGTTGTGTGTGCTTTTCCTTTTTAATTTTCAAGTTTCATGTGTCGTACTTGGCTTTTTCAGGGATTGGGAGGCCCTCTTTCAGCTACCCAAACACTTTATACCATTCGGTACCCCTTTTGAGCCTATGTTAATTTTCTTGACCTCCCGTCTTTTTGAATCGAGTTTAGTGCAAAAAAAGTTCATGTCCCCATAGGTTTGTTTTAGAAAGTTCATTCCAAAAGGAAAATTTTAAAAGAAAAAAAAGAAGAAAAAAATAGAGATAAAGAAAAAAAAGGAAAAAGAAAAAAAAGAGAGAAAAAAAGAGAGAAAAAAAGAAAAATAGCAACAAATAGAAAGCATCCTTTTGAACTACGTTCGACCTGATTCTTGTCACCAAAAGATATGTCGGCAGCCTTAAAGTTCAGTTGCACCAAATAAAATATTTCATAATCCCACAAAGTCGAGAGTGGGGCAGTCTTTCTTAGAAATACCGTCTCAAAAAGAAAAAGAGAAAAAAAGAATCAAATTCCCTTGTTTTAGAAATTGGGACAAAGTTTTAGAATGGATTCCAAAAGTTGTAAGTTAATTAACCTCGTTGTTTTAGTTATTTTGAGCCTTTATGATATCTTTTCTTTCTATCCCTGTCCAAAAGCCACATTAAAGTCCAAAAAGACCTCCCAGATAATCTTTAAGAGTGTCGAGCTAGACATGCCAGGAGCATATGATATTTTTACTATGGTCAGTGTCTTGTCATCTACAGAATCAGAGGAAATAAAAATAAAAAAACAAAATGAGAGAGTCTTATCGGTGAAAACCTTCACAGGCACCATAAGGCGACGATAAGTTGAGAGAAAGAACAAAATGAGAGAGGCTTAATGGTAAAAATTGTGATGACCCGGCCATTCGTCTCATGAGTTACCACTCCGTTTCTCTCATTTCTGCTTCTTTATGCTTCATTATTCATGTTTTATGGTATCGGGTTGGTCGGATCGAATCTGGAATGATTTTGGTAAGGTTTGAGACACTTAGTCTCTTTTAAGGGAGTTTAAGTTGGAAAAGTCAACCGGATGTTGACTTATGTGTTAGAGGGCTTGGATCTGAGTTTCGATGGTTTGGTTAGCTTTGGGAGGTGATTTATGGCTTAGGAGCGTGATCGGAATGGGTTTTGGAGGTTCGGAGTAGAATTAGGCTTGAATTGACGAAGTTGATATTTTGGCGATTTCCGGTTGATAGGCGAGATTTTGATATAGGGGTTGTAATGGAATTCTGAGAGTTGCAGTAGCTTCATTGTGTCATTTGAGATGTGTGTGCAAAATTTCAGGTCATTCGGACGTGGTTTGGTTGGGTTTTTGATCAAAAGCATATTTCGGGAGACTTTAGAAACTTAGGCTTGAATCTGATGTGTTTTGGGTGATTTGATGTAGTTTTAGGTGTTTTGATGATTGGAACAAGTTTGAATAAGGTTTTAGGATGTGTTGGTGCTTTTGGGTGAGGTCCCGGGGGCCTCGAGTGAGTTTCGAGTGGTCAATCGGATCATTTGAAGTTGAAAAAATTGCAGAAAATTGCAGGTTCAACTGTTGCAGGATTTTGTGCTTTGCGATCACGTAGAAGGATTTGAGGAGGCTGTCCAGTTGTTCTTCACGTTCGCAAAGAGAGGCTCATGATCGCATAGTGTGGGAAAGTTATTCATCGCGAACGTGGGAGGGTAGTCGCGTTCGCATAGAGTTAAATGGACCTGAGTCTTGGATGGATCTTTGTGCATTGCGAATGTGGAGGTGTGTCCACGATCACGTAGTGTAAGGTTTCCTGGGCATCGCATTCGTGTAGGCTGTATCGCGTTCGCATAGAGTAAATTCTTGGAGCTGAAGTTTTGTTCTTCGCGATTGCGAGGGATGTTCCGCGATCGCGATGAAGGAAATATATGCCTGGGCAGAAATGTTTTAAACTCATCTTATCCATGAGGATTGGGTTTATTTCCTCTATAGTTGGCCATTTTGGGAAATTTTTGAAGGAGATTGAAGAGTTATTCAAGGGGAATTGTTGGGAGGTAAGATTCTTGGACTAAAAACTAGATTATTATGTGAATTCCACCTAGAAAATCATGAAAACTAATCCTAAAATTGAAGAAATAGGGCTTGAAAAATTGTTCTTTTGATTTGGGATTTTAAGGACCATTTGGTGTCGGATTTGAGAACTTTTGATATGTACGAACTCGTGGGGAGAGAAGGAATCAATTGTTGTGAAAATTTCTGAGTTTCGAGAAGTGGACCTAGGGGTCAGGTTTTGGTAATTTCGGGATTTGTGCCCTTTATTGATTGTTTTCGCTTGGGCTTTGTTCCCTTAGCTTATTTTGACGTCCTCGTTCTAATTTTGGATAGATTTGATGCGTGTGGAGGCCGATTCGAGGGGTAAAGGCATCGCAAGCTAGAGATTTAGCCGTTTCGAGGTGAGTAATGATTGTAAATGATACTCTGAGGGTTTGAAACCCCGGATTGCACATCGTAGTGCTATATTCAGGTGAGACACACGCTGGATGACGGGCGTGGGGTCGTGCACTATTGGGGATTGTGACTTGGTCCATCCCGGTTGATGATTTTACCGCATATTTGACTGAAACTTATTTGTTGTCATTATGATTTGGGTTGATTTCCATATTTAGGCTTCGTGCCAACTATTTGAACCCTTCGCGGATTTTTATTACTATTTTCTCACTGTTTTGATTCATTGCTTGAACTCAGTCATGTTATTTTCAACTGTATTTACTACTCAGTCATGTTTACTCAGTTTTAAGACTTAAATGATATTTTAAATGATGTTTTGGGCTGAGAAATACTGTTTTACTATTGCTTGAGGGGATTGTGAGTATTTTTGACTGAGTAAGGTTGAGGGCCTATGTTGTGAGAAAACACTAATACTGATTTGAGGTTGAGGGCTTAAGATATGTACGCCACGAGGTGGCTTGATTGATATGAGGCCGAGGGCCTAGTTTTGATGCCACGAGATGGTTTGTTATTACGCTTAGATCGTAAGGGGCCCCTCCAGGAGATTGTACACCCCCAGTGAGCGAGGGTACCCATTGTGATGTGAGATTGAGCCCGAGGGGCTAGTATTGTTCTGAGATTGAGCCCGAAGGGCTGGCATAGTTCACAGATGTTGCTTGAGGGGCGGATTTGTTGATATTATGCCCGAGGGGCGAACTTCTATTTGTTAACTTTATCTTAACTTTTTGTCAATTATTTATTTACTTGTTGAAAGAGGATTTTACTTGACTTTTCACTATTTTACTGTTTTCAAATGATTTTACTGCTTCATTATAGAATGCCTTGTGCCTTACGTGTTTTCTTACTTTCAGTCGATATTTACATTTGTTACTCACTAAGTTGGACTACTCACTTTACTCCCTGCACCCTGTGTGCAGATTCAGGCGTAGCTGGTTCTGCTCCTGAGTGCTAATTTCCTCCAGTATCAGGCGAGCGTTCGTAGACTACGAGGTAGTTGTTGACATTCGCAGCCCTGTGTCTCTACTCTTTTATCATTTTTATTTCTCCTTCAAACATTTGTACTAGTTTATGGATTTAGCAGACTTGTATTATTTTCCTATAGACCCTCATGAATTGTGACACCCCGGTCAGGGCTGTGTCGTGTGGCATTTCCGCATTGTTATCGATATCTTCCGTTGTTTAGTATTATTAACTCATGTTTAGACTACTTTTATGTTGAATAACTTCTTTAAAAAGTGAACTGGGTATAATTGGCTGGCCTTGTCTTCACGAGAGGCACCATCACGACCGGGTTCGGGGTTAGGGTTGTGATAAGTTGGTATCAGAGCCTAGGTTGCATAGGTCTCATGAGTCATGAGCAGGATTAGTAGAGTCTCACAAATCGGTACGGAGACATTTGTATTTATCCTTGAGAGGCAGCAGAACCTTTCGGAAAAGCTTCATATTCTTGAAATTCTGGTCATGCGAACTTGTTGATACGAGCACTAAACTTCTACTATTTTATTCTCTCATAGATGGTGAGGACACGCACTACCGGACAAGGTGGACGACAACTAGTTCCAGCAGTTGTGGCCACAAGAGGCCGTGGATGCGGTCATGGTCGTGGCAGAGGCAGAGCAGCGACAACAGCACCTGTAGATCCACGAGCTGCCCCAGCTCAGGATCAGGCTCCAGCTATGGATGCTCCAGTAGCACCAGTTCAGCCACCAGCTGTGCCCATCATGATTCTGGGTCTTCAAGATGCCTTGGCACAAATCTTATCAGTTTGCACTGGCCTGGCTCAGGCTGTTTCAGCCACTACAGTTGCAGCTACTTCACAGGTTGGGGGAGGCAATCAGACTCTCGCCGCTCCCACACCTGAGCAGGTCGTGCAGGGACTTCAGACTCTAGGGCACATCTATCCCAGCTGGTTGCATCTACTCAGGACTATGTGGTTCCTGTCATGTCGGAGGATGAGCAACGTAGGTTGGAGAGATTTGGTAGATTATAGCCTCCGAACTTCAGTGGAGCAGAGGGCGAGGATGACCAGGGCATTTTTGGATAAGTGTCAGAGGATACTTTGTACTGTCGATATCTGGTGACCAGCGGGGTCGCTTTTACCACCTATCAGTTTTCAGGAGCTGTTTTCACCTGGTGGGAGGATTTTGAGAGGCGTAGGCTTGTTGGTGCAGCACCCCTTTCCTGGCAGCAGTTCTCTATTCTCTTCCTGGAGAAGTAAGTGCCGCAATTCCGCAGAGAGGAGCTGCATAGGCAGTTTGAGTGGTTGCAATAGGGGGATATAACTGTGTCACAATATGAGTTGAGGTTTTCTGAGTTGGCTCGTCATGCCATATGGATGGTTCCGACAGATCGAGAGAGGATCAGGAGGTTTGTTGATTGTCTTAATTATCAGCTCCATATTCTTATGACCAGGGAGAGGGTATTTAGGGCTACCTTCGAGGGGCCAGTTTCAGCACAGTAGAGGCCGTTCATTCTTGCCTGCTCAGTTAGCTCACCCAGGTTATCATGGGGCATCTTTGGGTCATGGTTAAAAAGGATCTCAGCAGGGCCAGTCATCACTCAGCGCCCTTCTAGCTTAGAGTTCGACCTGGGCTCCATTGGTTCAGGGTTCCTCTATGCCGAGTGCATCTGCTAGTCACTCCGGTGCGAGGGGTTACCTTTAGTCCCCTTCTCCAACACTTGGGAGTTGTTATGAGTGTGGTGAGATAGGCCACATATGGAGGCAGTGTCCTCGTCGAGTTGCTTGGTCATCCCAGTAGAGGGTCCAGTTATCAGCTTCAGCGCCAGTCTCTCCACCACCACCCGCTCAGCTAGCTAGGGGTGGAGATCAGTTAGCTAGGGGTCGCCCTAGAGGGGGAGGTCGATCAGGGTGCGGTCAGGCCCGTTTTTATGCACTCCTAAGCAGACCCGATGTTATTGCTTTAGATGTTGTTATCACAGGTATTGTTTCAGCCTGCTACAAAGATGCCTCTGTATTATTTGATCTCGATTCCACCTTTTCTTATGTGTCATCATACTTTGCTCGTTATTTGGGTATGCCTCGTGAGTTTCTTGCTTTACCTGTTCATGTATTTACCCCGATGGGTGATACTGTTGTTGTAGACTGTGTGTATTGGTTGTGTGTGGTGACTATTGGGGTCCTGGAGACCTGAGTGGATCTGTTATTATTGAGCATGGTCGATTTTGATGTCATTTTGGGCATGTATTGGTTATCTCCGTGTCAAGCTATTCTGGATTGTCATGCTAAGATAGTCACTTTGGCTATGCCGGGTATACCACGAATTGAGTGGTGAGGTGTGACTAATTATGTTCCTAGTAGAGTTATCTCTTTCTTGAAGGCTCAGCATATGGTTAGGAAGGGTTGTCTTTCATATCTAGCGTTTGTGAGGGATGTCAAAGCCGAGACTCCCAATATTGATTCTGTTTAAGTTGTGAGGGATTTTTTCGATGTGTTTCCTGCAGACCTGCCGGGCATGCCACCGGACAGGGATATTGATTTTGGTATTGACTTGGTGCCGGGCACTCAGCCCATTTCTATTCCGCCGTATCATATGGCACCATCGGAGTTGAAGGAGTTAAAGGAGCAGCTTCAGGAGCTCCTAGATAAGGGGTTTATTCGGCCTAGTGTGTCACCTTGTGTTGCGTTGGTTCTATTTGTGAAGAAGTAGGATGGCACAATGAGAATGTGCATTGATTATAGGCAATTTAATGTAGCAATTAAGAACAAGTATCCTTTGCCTCGCATTGATGATCTATTTGACCAGTTTCAGGGAGCGAGGGTGTTCTCAAAGATTGATCTTTGTTTAGGTTATCACCAGCTGAAGATCAGGGATTCAGATATTCTTAAGACAACTTTCAAAGCCTGATATGGTCATTATGAGTTCTTGGTGATGTCTTTTGGGCTGACCAATGCCCCAGGAGTGTTCATGAATTTGATGAATAGTGTGTTCTGGCTTTATCTCAATTCATCCGTCATAGTCTTCAATGATGATATCCTGGTATATTTGCGTAGCCAAGAAGAGCATGCGGAGCATTTGAGAGTTATGTTGCAGAGATTGAGGGAGGAGAAGCTTTATGCAAAATTCTCCAAGTGTGAGTTTTGTCTTGGTTCAGTGGCTTTCTTGGGGCATGTGGTGTCCAACGAGGGTATTCAGGTTGATCCGAAAAAGATAGAGGCTATTCAGAGTTGGCCCAGACTGTCCTCAGGCATAGATATTCGCAACTTTCTAGGTTTGGAGGGCTATTATCGCCGGTTTGTTCTGGGATTCTCACCTATCGCATCGCCCTTGACCAAGTTGACTCAGAAGGGTGCTCCATTTGTATGGTCGGAGAGTGTGAGGAGAGCTTTCAGAAGCTAAAGACAGCTCTTACCACAGTTCCAGTGTTGGTTTTGCCATCAGCTTCAGGTTCATATACCGTGTATTGTGATACTTTGAGAGATGGGATTGGTTCTGTGTTGATGCAGAAGGGTAGAGTTATTTCTTATACTTCTCGTCAGTTGAATCCCCATGAGAAGAACTATCCCATTCATGATTTGGAGTTGGCTGCCATAGTTCACGCGTTGAAGATTTGGAGGCATTACCTGTATGGCGTATCTTGTGAGGTGTTCACTGATCATCGCAGTCTTCAGCATTTGTTCAAGCAAAAGGATCTTAATTTGAGGTAGCAGAGATGGTTGGAGTTGCTTAAGAATTATGATATCACTATATTGTACCATCTTGGGAAAGGCCAATGTGGTGGCCGTTGCTTTGAGCCAAAAGGCAGTGAGTATGGGAGTTTGGCATAGGGAGAGACCTCTTGCAGTTGATGTTCAGGCCTTGGCCAATCGGTTTGTGAAGTTGGATATTTCGGAGTCCAGTCAGGTGTTGGCTCGTGTGGTTTCTCGGTCTTCCTTATATGATCGCATCAGAGAGCGCAGTATAATGATCTGCATTTTCTAGTCCTTAAGGACAAAGTTCAGCATGATGATGCCAGAGATGTGATCATCGGTGATGATGGGGTGTTGAGGATGCAGGGCCGGATTTGCGTGCCAAATGTGGATGGGCTTCAGGAGTTAATTCTGGAGGAGGCCCATAGCTCACAGTATTCTATTCATCCGGGTGCCGCAAAGATGTATCAGGATCTGAGGTATCACTATTGGTGGAGAAGAATGAAGAAAGATATTGTGGGATTGGTAGCTCGGTGTATCAATTGTCATCATGTGAAGTATGAGCATCAGAGACCGGGTGATTTGCTTCAACAGATGGATATTCTTGAGTGGAAGTGGGAGAGGATCACTATGGACTTTGTTGTTGGGCTTCCACGGACTTTAAAGAAGTTCGATGCTATTTGAGTGATTGTGGATCAGTTGACCAAGTCCGCGCACTTTATTCCTGTGTGTACTACCTATTCTTCAGAGCGATTGGCAGGGATCTATATCAGGAAGATTGTTCGTTTGCATGGTGTCCCAGTTCCATCATCTCATATAGAGGTACTTAGTTTACTTCATAGTTTTGGTGGGCTGTGCAGAGATAGTTGGGTACTTAGTTTGAGTTGAGGACAACTTTTCATACTTAGACGGATGGGCAGTCCGAGTGTACCATTTAGATGTTGGAGGACATGTTGCGTGCTTGTGTCATTGATTTTGGAGGGTCATGGGATGAGTTTCCACCGCTTGCAGAGTTTGCTTATAACAATAACTACTAGTCGAGTATTCAGATGGCTCCATATGAGGCTTTGTATGGGAGGCGGTGTAGATCTCCAGTTGGTTGGTTTGAGCCCAGTGAGGCTAGGCTATTGGGGACTGATTTGGTGAAGGATGCTTTGGAGAAGGCGAAGGTGATTCAGGAGAGGCTTCGTACAGCGCAGTCGAGGTAAAATAGTTATGCTTATAGGAAGGTTCGAGATGTGTCCTACATGATTGGCGAGAAGGTTCTACTGAAGGTTTCACCCATGAAGGGTGTTATGAGATTTGGGAAGAAAGGGAAATTGAGTCCTCGGTTCATTGGGCCTTTTGAGGTGCTTCGGAGGATTGGGGAGGTGGCTTATGATCTTGCTTTGCTACCCAGCTTGTCGAGTGTGCATCCGGTCTTTCATGTTTCCATACTCCAAAAGTATATTGGGGATCCATCTCATGTTCTGGATTTCAGCACGATTCAGTTAGATGATGATCTGACCTATGATGTGGAGCCAGTAGTTATTTTGGGTCGTCAGGTTCGAAAGTTGAGGTCAAAGGATATAGCATTAGTAAAAGTGCAGTGGAGAGGACGGCCCATGGAGTAGGATACCTAGGAGACCGAGCGGGATATGCGGAGCAGATATCCTCACATGTTTGAGGCTTCAGGTATGTTTCTTGACTCGTTCGAGGACGAACGTTTGTTTAAGTTGGGTAGGATGTGATGACCCGGCTAGTCATCTCACTGTTTCCCTCATTTCTGCTACTTTATACTTCGTTATCCTTATTTTATGGAATCGGGTTGGTCGGATCGAATCTGGAATGATTTTGGTAAGGTTTGAGACACTTAGTCTCTTTTAAGGGAGTTTAAGTTAGAAAAGTCAACTGGATGTTGACTTATGTGTTAGAGGGCTCGAATGTGAGTTCCGATGGTTCGATTAGCTTTGGGAGGTGATTTATGGCTTAGGAACGTGATCAGAATGGGTTTTGGAGGTTCGGAGTAGAATTAGGCTTGAATTGGCGAAGTTGATATTTTGCCGATTTCCGGTTGATAGGCGAGATTTTGATATAGGGGTTGGAATGGAATTTCAAGAGTTGCAGTAGCTTCGTTGTGTCATTTGGGATGTGTGTGCAAAATTTCAGGTCATTCGGACGTGGTTTGGTTGGGTTTTTCATCAAAAGCGTATTTCGGAAGATTTTAGAAACTTAGGCTTGAATCCTATGTGTTTTGGGTGATTTGATGTTTTTTGAGGAGTTTTGATGATTGGAACAAGTTTGAATATGGTTGTAGGATGTGTTGGTTCCTTTGGTTGAGGTCCCGGGGGCCTCGAGTGAGTCTCGGGTGGTCAATCGGATCATTTGAAGTTGGAAAAACTGCAAAAAATTGCAGGTTCAGTTGTTGAAGGATTTTGCGCTTTGCGATCGCGTAGAAGGATTTGAGGAAGCTGTCCAGTTGTTCATCGCGAACGTGGGAGGGTAGTCGCGTTCGCATAGA